CTGCTTCACTTATTTTGGACTTTCTATTCAAAACTTTTTGCATACTTTTGTTGTATGCACATTGAATTCTTTGATAGCAGCTTTGACAACAACATCATTCTAAAACTTGCAAAAGGTCCAAAATGCAGTAGTGGGAGTGATTCCTGGCACCTGTGGAAACTATTAACACATTTGTCCAATCTCTAAATCTCATGAGTCTTCAAACCTTCATTCTAAGTTAAAATTCATCTTTGATTTTAAAATAGTTAAAATATATGCTCCGAAATTCTGTTTTACTAGATAGAATTATGCTTAACTGAATTGTTTTTAAGATGGATAATGCAAAGTTTAATAATGCAAAGATGGATATCATGCAAAGTTTTCAGTTACAACAAAAAGCTTCATACAAAGGTACTGATTAACTAGCTGATTCTTATTTACCAATGCTGTCTACATTTTTTTCATCAGAAAGTTCAATTGCTTTAGGCATCAGAGAAATGACATGGATGGATGGATGAAGAGAAACATTTTTTAACATGACATTGCGTCATCTGCTATGCTCAATCACAAATTTAGTGGAAAACATACACAACTCTGAGTCTAGTCATTAGAAGTACAGTTAGAAGCACTTGCTATTTTCCACTATTTGTAAGGCAAACAGAAATGGCTATGAATACTGCTAGCTATGGAATTCAATACATAATTGACTTTTAGAAATATTAAATGAGAAAATGTTTCCAACACTTTTTGGTGTAAATTAGCAGTCAGATTTCTGACCAAAGACCATGGCTTCAGTCAGCTACAGGCTTTCTGAAATGCTGAAAATTGGGTAATTTTTTTAAAAGCTCCAATACATATTTCGGAGGCAGATATGACAATGTAACACATTGCTTATTGGTTCACATAGAATCAGGTCAGAAATACATTACTGTTGCCCGAGAACATCATGTCAGAAAACTCCTGCTAACGTCCTGTCCTGGTGTTTTAAGCGAGGCTGGAGGGAAAAGAGAACAGGGTGTTTTATAAATTGACTATCAACAAGCAACAGAAGCTTTTTCAGTTCCATACGATTGAGAATGGATTCTGAGATGGAAAGATCCTTGCAAGTCTGAACTTGTTCTTCAATAGCTGGTCGCTGAGCCAAAGCCCTAACAACTACCCTGCTGATGGTGGTGGGTCATTTCTCTATATTGAGCAGAGTCGTGAGTTTTATGACAAGTGACAAAAATGTATGACTAATTCTTTAGGCTCCCTTGCTCTCTTTTGGAGTGGATTTTGCACAGAAAACAGCATGCTTTTTGAAGTCCCAGACACATAAAAACAAATGTGGCAGAACACTCCTACTTACAAGCCAACAAGCACACAATTTTTTGTCTAGATCTTACTCAAATAATGAGATTCACTAAAACTTTCATGAAAGATTGTCAATTTCTTTTTATTATTGCTCCTCATCCTTTCCTGCTCCAAATCTCTCTTGACCCAGAAAATTGCCATACATCATTAGGTTGCGAAATCAACTTTGCCAGTTTTCAGTCTTCTGACATTAGATCTTTCAGCTGCTGGAATTATGTGTTTACCTGAGAATCTCGTATTTCATTTAGAAAGTATGCTTCTCATTCTAGCCCTTATAGCTTCAGTGAAAAGATGGAAAATATGAGCTCCAAGAACTCCAAAGACAGTATAGAAATAAAAAAGATGAATAAATAAATGTCTCTGCTTGTAGCTATAGAGATATCTAGAATTTTAAGTCAATCTGAATAAATAAATGTCTCTGCTTGTAGCATAGACATATCTAGAATTTTAAGTCAATCTTGATTTTGTTAGTGTTTTTCACATGTTTTTCAAGTTGCAACAGAAGAAAACAGATGAGGAATAAGTGACCCATATCCTTGCCTTTTCAGCAATGAACTTCCTTGGCGTAGAAAGTCACTTAATGTTGCTGTGAAATGGCCAGCAAGTGTCACTACAGGCTGAAGTAAAGCTCATGCTTTTCCTTTGGTATCCAAAGTGAAAACGTCGGAGGCAGCCAGTGGCACAGAAAGCCAGTGGCAGGAGTGACCAGTTGCACACTGTGCTGCACAGAAACTAGAGTGCTGACCAGAGCACACCACAGCTTCCACGAAACAAAATAAAAACAAACAACACCCCGACACACACACACACACCAGCTAGGTGATGGCTGCAGTTAATAAAATGCTAATAATTCTAATACGTAACTATTCTAGTAATAATGGAAGAAACCAACCCAACATACCCAGCAGGAATTGAGCTTTAAATATAAGCAGCAACACTGCTCAACACAAGGAAGCAGTTTGATTTCATCACGTACGAAAATGGAATATATTGAGAGGTAATCTCCAAGAAGGAAGGAAGGAAGACAGCCTTGTGGTTAGAGCAGAAGATTAGGGTCACAGTAGCTGGGTTCTGTCGTAACACAGCCATTGACTTTCTTTAAAAGCCTGGAGAAGCCACCTAATCTCCTTGCATTTTATTTCCTCCATTTCTAAAGAGAGGATAATAATATCTTTCCTAAAGATTTATTGAAACTTAATTCACTAATATTTGTACAGCATGTACATGGATGGTACTATAGAACTGCTAAGTATTATTGCACAGCCATATCCCAAAAGAAAATTAATGCAGTGGTATATTCTTTAATAAAAACAATGTTCAAGTTAATATGACATGAATCTTCGTAAAGGAAAACAAGCCAAAATATGTACATACTAGTGAATTTAACAACCTTCCTTCCAACCCGGTTTCTCACACTGGGACCCAACTGCATATGAACCTCCAATTCATCCTCCAATCACAAAATTAAAGGAGAACACCCTGAAAAACTGAAATAACTGTTTTTCCTAAGGCACAACTGTAATCTGAAAGATAATGTGCTAGAATGAAAATCAGCAGCATTGTTCAGTTTATTTTATTAAAAATGCTTCTCTGTGTACAGTGGCTATAATCAGGATGGTACAATACAATAAATTTCCGTTAGGAAACAACAATTCACTTACCACAGTGAAAGCAATAATAAGGTTAAAATCTTCAGTTAAGTGGAAAGTAAGTCAAACTAAACCCCAGCAGGTTTCCTACTAGTGGCATAGTTAATGTTTTTGAAAATGTTCTAAATGTTCTTTCTCAAATATATGTATTATACATTGCAGTATTGTTAATTATATCCATTTTCTCTTTTATACACTTCCCCAGGAGATCAGTGAAGAATGGAAAACTTACTTATAGTGGATTTCAGATTTAATGAGACAAAGATGGTTTTAATATATATGACAGAGCGATGTGCTTTTACCATATTTGATAGGTAATTATTTTTTATACTTGAATGGCTACCATTTTGAAAATAATTAATGTATTATTTATGTAATTAATAGATAATCAACCAAGTAATGAAATACCCTGGTTACAACATGGTGGGTGGTACTATCCTGTTTAACATCTCCAGTTTTTGGCATGACATCATTTCTTACACTTTTTAAAACATTTCATTTGAAAGATTTATGTACATTCCAACCATGTAAGTAACATTGCTAGGATATTTCTGTTTATGTAGATATACCTAGCTAAGACTTTACAAATACTTTTTTTTTTTCAAAATTGGATTTTAAATCCGTAGTCAGCCAGTTAAGTAAATACATAATTTTCTACAGAAATAACAAGCATCCCACATTTCCTACTGAAAATATGGATCTGTTGCTTTAAGATTTTCTAGGTCTATCAAAAGTCTTGCATTAAAATTAAAGCCAGCATTGAATTCTTAAAGAACTCAAAGAACAAACAAAATCAGCACAAATGTTATTCTGTTCATTATCAGAAAACTACCAACCAGAGGAAACAAAAAAAAATACAGATGGCATAGCCAAATTTAAAATTAGATGCAATGGGACACACTCAGAAATCTGAAGAGAAAAAGAAACTTTAACAAAAAAACCCTTTAACGCAACCTTCTTAGTAAGCCTCCTAAGAAGAGGAAGACTTCAAGAACATCTACCTGGGAAGACTGTTGCTTTTCCTGCAATTATTTTCTTGAACACCTGTGTAAAAATTATTTGTTTAAAGTGTTTTCTACCTGTCTTCTGAGGTGAACAGTTAATAAACTGTCACCTCAAGAGTGCTGGTGCCCTAGACACCCTGATGTGCTAGTGGAAGGGAAAAACCTCTTTACTTCTAAAGCTCAACAATTACTCATGATTTCTTTCTTATTTCTTTGGTCAAAGATCACCTGCAGAGTAAAGTGACCTGTGATGATGACACAGGTGAGCGACTGTTTAAAAGTGATAGCTATGAACAGAAGAAAATCACACGGTTCAACCAGGTTTGTTTGCTAACTTAATAGCTCTCTTTCCCAAATTGTCTCACTATTTTGGGGAATGGAACAAAAGACAGACCTCCACAAAGTCACTGGCAAAGCTGAGTCCTGGCCTTCAGCTGTAAGAGCTTATCAGTCAGAATATAACATAATGACTACAATTCTTTCCATTTTTTTCCACAGCTCTGCAGGCTTAGGCTCAAGAGGTGGCCTAGACTGCTGCAAAACTCCCTGCGTACATTTATTTTTCCATATACACACCAAACTTGAACGTTTTCTCAGGCTAATTTTAGCCCTTTCTAAATGTGGTTTCAAATGGGCTACTCAAGTCATACGTGCAGAGAAAGAGGCTATTAAACTGATCATACAACACAAATTAAAATATAATACTGTGGGAAGTGAAACAAACAGTGAGGCTTTTCATGGCAAAACTCAAGTTTATACTCAGGTAGAATGGATGACACAGATCACTTTTTAGAGGACTACAATGACCAACATTTAAGTAGCCTAAGAAGCAAATGTTATTGTTAACAATAAATAAAAGCCAAAATAAATGAACACACAGAACAAAAATGCAGGCAAAATATGAATGTATGATTACATATGTACATGCACTGGATTATTTGATGTATCAGATAAGTATTTTATCCAACAATAAAGAGAGGTTTCTGTATGAAAACTATGATTGTCTTTTTATTACCTTAAAATATTGCAGTTGTTTCTCAGCATTCATTGTTCCTTCATTTTCTTGCCTCAGACAGGAATTGAAGATGAAAAGCTCCGTATCTCTCAGCCACCCTTTCAGCTCTTTGATCCTGACCTCCAGCTGCCTTACCAGGCTGCCGCTTTCAGGCGAGAGCAGGTCACGTGGACCTAACCCACTGTGCCCTACCATTGTGTCTTGGATCTTCTCTCCTAGGGTTTTCTAATGCAGCAGATAAAGAAAACACTGATTAGTCTTAGGTACCAAAACATACACAGGTTAGTGTGAAACAAGAAGCGTCTGTTTGATGACTAGAGATAATTTTTAACTTACTACTAATATCAACTAATTAATTTCTTTGCATCCTTGTTTTAAGAAATGTCATTCTTTGTATCCTTGTTTCTCACTTATGCCCTTGCGCGTCTCTCTGCAGTCCATGGACAAGCCCATTGACTTTGCTGGAAGCATGATAAATCCATGCTTATTAAGAACAACTATTGACAAAAAAAAAGACAAAATGGCACATAAATCTGCAAGGTAGTTACCCTACAGAATTTGTCAGCTGCCTTATGCATCTATGGCCCTAAGACTCACTGGTGCTTAGGAAGTGAGAATGGAAAACACGGCAAACACTGAATATACCAAAATTTTATCCAAGGCACAGTCTACATTTTTAAGGAAACACTGAAATACTAAGATGCCTTTTTGAGCTCCAAGCTGTCAGGTTATGATCGGCAAACTTGCAGCCATGAGGTTGACTATAGGAACGGACCACAAGAACTTGTTTGCTTTTAAAAGAGGATGAGGTCCCTCAGCCTTTCTAGCAATATGCCAGAAACTGCAGTGTTACCAAGCATCAAGCCAGTTATTCAGGTAACTAAATCTGGATTTAAGCCCTCCAAGCATCTTCAAGCATCCACTTGAAGAATAATGGACCAAAATAAACGTTCACGTTTGATCTAATGAAGTTAACTTCATGCAGCTTCTCAGGGTGGTATTTCTAATAAAAGAAGCAGTGAACAACATTTTAATAGTGGACATAGTGAGCACATGAATATTCTGTGGAGGGACCAAAGATAGAAAGTTACCTTCCTTTTCAGTATTTTGAAAGGCAATCCTTTAACATCACAGGGGAGATGCACTGTTGCCTGCTCCTTCTATGCCAAGCTGTATTTTATGTGACCTATAAGAGGCTGTCAGTCTGACACTTATTATAAGCACTAGATCTGTGTTACTGATTGTAGAATATTGAATATACACTGACAATCACATCACATAACCTTTTAAACTGATAACTAGCAGTGGTTAATTGTTGTAACATGAAGATACAGTTTTAGGTGACCCAGTATGGCTGTCTGTTGAAAATACATGCTTGAGAAAGTCACGGGAATAAAATTTATAATGATGAAATTAGCCTCCCAAAATAAGCTTTACAACACAAATAAAATTAGATCAACAGACATTAATCTACTATGTAGCATTCTGTAAATAACATCTTTAGGAGATCATAACTGAAAAAACATGCTTTCTTGGCAACACCCTTCTATTTTCATGGTGCAAATATTGATAATTTGAAGACCCTCAGTGGAATCCAGCACTAGCTATTGTTTTTATGCTGTAACAAAAGTAGCAGCAGGAGGTGAAATCAATGCCCTTGGAGGGTAGGGTCACAAAAAAGAATTTATTGCCACTTTTTTGTTCTGGAACAGTTTGCAATCATAAATTCTTCATAAACAGAATACTTCAGAGAATGGTCCGTCTTCATAAATATACGACAGAGGACATCAATTTCATTTAATTCACAATTTGTGTCAGCACAGCAGATGCCAATGCCTGCCTTGATAGGGTTGTTTAATATGCAATTGAGACAGAGTAATATTCAGCACAGGGGACAAAATTTCACAGATTAAACTGTACGCACCACTGACATTTCATTCTAACGTATTTCCATTCCACACTGTTCACCTTAGATGAAAGTAATATTAAAATCCATATCCCTCTATTTTACCATTGTTAGAAGTTAAAATCCTTGTCTTAATTTTTTTTTCATGCCAATTAAAACGTAATCATGCCAATTAAAACAGCATGCCTAGTGCTGTTAGTTTCTGCAGAGGTTTTTATTAAATTACACAAAACTCTATCAAACTCTGCTTATTATTCATGAAATTGCATTTAGCAAAAAAACAGGAATACTTATTTTTTATTTTTCTATAAACGCTGAAATTAATAGCAAAACTTAATCTGAAGGTATATTTTGATTTTAATATAGTGAGAATTTTTTTAAGAAATTCTATTTCTACACTTTTAGAATAATTGAGCAGTTGCTTATCTCAAAGTTTTACAACCGACCAGCTGTAATCAGTGCCACTGAGTTGAATTGATTAAACACATTATAAGTCATAAAGGCAAGCCTTACAACAAAAATGAAAAAAAAAAAAACCTATCATGCTTATATTTTTTTAAAATGGTTTAGTATGACCTGTTTTTTTATTTGCAGTAAATTTACTCACATTTCAATACTGTGAAAATATATATGGTGATACTGCATGTTACTTTTTACAAGAAACTTACTAGGTATAAGACAACAGCTGCCATTTGCTGACAATTTCCACATTTAAAGAATCAAGTAATTAGAAACAGCCGTGATCAACTAAAAAAGCCCCACCCTCTGTATAATGATTATTGCATTACCAAATAAGCTAAAGTGGCACAAGCCAGGATTTAAAAAGATGCTGGCAGATTGTACATACAGCTTACTTGTAATATACCAGGAATGTTTTTTAAAGTAAGATAATAGCATGCAAAATTATGCAATATAACCGTATTGCTAATATTACACATCTATAATTAATCATTTAAAGTAATTCATAAATTTATCTTACCCTTGATTTGAAGTGAAGGCAATTAAGGAGAGAAGTGGATGGAAAAATATATAGTTTGACCTCTCTCTCTCAGCTGTTTTACAACAATAGGACAATAGTGTCTTCCTGCACGGTGCCATCCCTGGTCTCTGGGTAACAGAATCACTATATTGCTTTTTTTGCCAGATTCTTGTATCTCACTCTTTGGCTGAGACCCAGCCCATCATAGCGTGAAATGAATTACATGAAACTTTTTTTGGCTTTTGTCAAAAGTGAGCTGAATACAGCAGCATGAAACACATCCCTGGCTGTATTCTTAGCTTCAGGTATTCTGATTTGTACTGAATTTGCATATTTGTTTTTGAGCCATCACTGTGACCTGAAATATGCAGTGACAACCCCACTTTTCATCTTAAGGGTATAGTAAATAGTTAAACAGTAGATGTCTCTAACATGTACCTTCAGAATAAATTCTATTAACATTCACTCAAGCATGACAGTCAGTGTATATCAGATATACTGCATTATAGTTGACTTGGTGCATGCCCATAATACATGGCATATTTTACTTACATTTTTTATGTATTAAAGAACTAAAATTATTAAAGTCAGACAGGAGAGAAGCATGGAATGAAAAAGAAAATCAACAGAAGAGGAAAAATGCTATGGAGTTTTTGTAATAGCATGAGTAGCTTGTTTGAAATGTACGTGGCGAATTGAAAGAGAGAGATATTTGTGCCTCAAATTAGAAATCAGACAGACAGCGTACTTCAACACACAAAAATGTACACATATCCCACAAACAGTAATAAAAATGCAAATACCCCAAGCAGTTCCCATTTTTCATTAATTGAATCCACTTTTTCAAGGAGATCATTTGGTAGTAAAACACCACTTTTCTTCAGAGCTTCAACCTTACTAAGCAGTTCCATCTTTTTCGGGAGCCTGATTGACATTTCTACATTGTATCTCTAAAATGAAAACAAAACAAAACAAAAACAAAAAAGGAGATAACATTAGCTGCTGAGTTTTCTCTATAAAAATTTAAGCATTAATTCTATATGCCGGTTATGATCATGCCGACAGTGCTGTTGTCTTCCCTTCCCTTTTCTTCTTCTTTTTTTTTTTTCTTCCTTTCTTTTATAGCACACAACCTTCTGATGACACATCTGGCAAGATTTAGGTACCAAACAGGTTGTCTTCTGATGATGTGCATATGAAGACAGTAGATTACAGATAGTAATACTGGACAGATATCCTAATGCTTCCCGGACTGAAGCCAGATTTTCCTTTGTCTCACTCCAATCAGTTGCTATCTTATTTTTTAAACGTGCTATTTCAGCTAGATTTTTTAGGCAAAAAAAATCAAAATTATTCTTTCTGTACAGTTTGTTTTTTCTCTCTCTCATTCTGGATTCTGCCATATATACAGGTCTCCAAAACTAAAGCATGTGAAAACACGAGTCCTTCACCTCAGAAAAACAATTAGACATAACTTCTTTGCCACAGAAAACAGTAACTTGATTTTTATTGCATCGATCAACAAGAACAGTGCAAGGGCACACAAGCTAAACATCCATAATTCTCAGATAGTCTGATATTTTCTTCAACCTGCAACTCCCCTTTATTTTCTGCATGGCTATTTACCACCTAAAAAAAGGACAGACAAAACAGAAATAAAAACAGGAGTCTCTTCCAAAATTACTTGAATAGGACTTTCTAAATACTTAGCTTTATATTATTTACATACTTTTTAAAAAGGCATGGTTGTCTACATGAAACATCAGCAAATGAATCTCTTTAAAACCCTTATTTTCTGAAAGCCTACATAGAGTATTTAATAGGTCCGTAGTGATTAATTATGTTTCAGTAGCTGGTACAGTACATCAGAAAATAAAACTTAACACGCAGGCATATAGTTGTGCATATACACACCATACAGTTAAGCCAATTCCCTCTTGCTCTTACGTAAAGCGTACTTACAGAAATAGGCCTGATATGGCTAAAAACATACCTTTTATTCAAAGAAGAAAATTCAACACCTATTCTTACAAAGGCATTTACAAGACATATGTAAATTATGCACAGCTATTAGGGAATTGCTTCCTAAACATTAAGCTTTCCTTGCTTTAAAGCCAGCCAAGAAAACTGCTATAGTGGCTCATATTGAAAATATTAATAACTGGTATAAGCATAAAAGTTAAACTTGAATGAGGAATGTTTAAAACATGGATGCCTGTGCCAGATCTAAGAACGTGTTCTGGAGGAAAACAAAACAAAAATACAATTGGAGACATCTTAAAGAAAATAAGAAAGGTGTGAAATCACTGTTTCAGCTAACAGGTCCTCAGCATTTCCATGCATATGTTTGCATATTGTTAGTTTCATATTTTAATCTTTCATTTACACAACACATGCACATCATTTGTATTATGTAAACTTCAGCAAATATTAGTCATTTGTGGATCATAGAGCAAATGTTTTAAATGAGGTGATTTAAACCATTTCTCATTATTAATGAACACTGATCAGGTGTCTGCGTATCCAAAATTACATGAATATGCATAGTAAAAAACAAGGAATTGTTTATAAAGAACTTGTCTTCTCATACACAGCATACTGTGGCTAGGCTTTTAAAAATGTACAATATTAGGAAACAGTCAGGTTTGGCACGAAGGCACCAGATCAGCCAAGAGATAACACTGTTTTATTGGACTAAGATGTTCAACAAGTTTTCTTCTTGGTCAGATATTATTGCCTTTTCAGCTAGAATGGTTACTGGAGGAGATTACAATCTTCTTTATGTAATCTGATTTCTATTTAAAGATGATATAGCCGAGAAGGATTTGCATAATTATTTCCATAAGTAATATCAAGGGGAATCCAGAGTCCGTCTCGCTAGGCACAGAAACCCAGTTTCGTGCTACTCCCTTCCTTTTGCCAAGTGAATTAGCAGACTGAGGGAGTCCTCTAGCTGCGTGACACTGCTGCCGACACTGCCAGTTCTTTCTTTCCACCTGCTAGGGACTGGCAGGGGCTGCCGAGCCGACTGGGACAGCGCGGGACTGCTGCAGGAACACAATACGTTGCATATGCTTCTTAACTGCAGCGTTCTTGTTAACATCAAATGTTTCATTTAATTTTGGACTAGATAAAATAATTCTTCAGTGCAGCACAATCCAAACAGTGTGACAGATGTTATAAAGGGTTATTACATTAAAAAATAAATAAGCTAGATTTTATGTACGCTCTCTTGTCTTTTTCACAGTGTAACCTATTGTATACAAGCATGATGAAAGTGCTGATTGACAGAAAATGCATTATACTGTAACAGTAAAAGACCAAAGAATCCAGTTCGTTGTTAGATGTGTTGGTATGTGACTGAGAGTCAGTATGTATTTTAATTTAAGGGAAGAGCTTAATGTACAGGAGGTACAGTTTAAGAACTGATAGCACTAGATGCTATTGCTAATGCTATTTTTTAATCCATTAAACACCTACACTCTAAGCAGTTGCATGATAAAATTAGCTACCGGCTCTATCAGTGCTGCACAACCCTAGTCTAGTAGGACTACTTTATCCTGCGGTGAGAAGATAATTTAATCTTCATATTCATTCTTTCCTCTGCTTTAAGTGAGCAAGGGCTGCTCTATTGTGACAGGCTGTGGATGCTATGATATAGATTACTGTTTAATAGCCAAAAATGAGATTAAGAAAGTTAAAGTCACAGGATTTCTCACAATGTTGGTAACAATAAATTAATGAATGTATATTTAATTTCCCATAACACCTGCCACATCACAAACTGACAAAGACATACAGGAAAAACTGCAAAATATTTACAGCATGATTCGTTGGTTGCATGCATGGCTGATTGTGTGTTCCTGAAGCAATGCAAAGCCCTTATATTCAAGTTACCCTCTCGCTATCCATGATCTATATTTCTTAGAAGAAAAAGAGTGGAGTTCTAAACAAGGCAGCCACATTTATCCATGAGCAAGTTTGGCAAGAATATTTAAACCACAAGAAGTTGAATTCCAAAACAAAGGAAGTTAAAACCTCGTTTCCCCTGATAAAAATATTCTACAAAATCTTAGCAGGCTTGATTGAGACACATTTTTTTTGACACTTTATACTAAAGAAGCTATTTTTTTTTCTTTTTTTCTTTTTTTTTTTTTGCTTTAAAAATTACAGAAAACATTTTTTGTGTGAAAAATCACACCCGAAAATTCTGCCCAACTGGAGACTGGAACAATGCCTTGTAACAGTGTTAATTGTCACCATGGAAACCAGAAGAATAAGCCATTTTGAAACTGGTATAGAAGGCACACATTGAGCAACTCAAGCATTTTTCAGCCTCCCTCAGTGTTAAGGAACAAGATGCCTAGTCACTGAGAGGTCAGAGAAAGAAATCATCATGAAAGGTTCGTCGATGTGCGCTGTCTGGTAAATAATAATGATAAAAAAAGGAAAAAAAAGCACTGTACGCAGTTAACAACTCTGCGAGACTACACACTGCCTTGTGCAGAAAGAGAAACATGACAAAAAGATGATCGGGACTGGGGTAGAGATTCCACCCCTCCAGCAAAACTTTAGGGCAATATTATGCGAACCTTGCCCCTAAAGCTCCCTGGGAATTCTGTTGTTGTAATAAAACTTCAGAAGAGGAAAGAAAAAAAGCCTGCATGATGGAATTCAAAATAATGCTCTAAAAGCACACAGAGAGATTAAGACATCCATTGTAAGACTTTTGTATGGTGCTTCTGTTGGTTATAGTGAAAGGAGACCAGACATACTGAACACACAGTGGAGCTATGGCTACGAAGTACAGAGGAATTAAGCCACTGAACTTTCTCCATTATTGCTACAAGGGTAGGATATTAGTAGATGTTCTGCTTTCTACCCTTCACGTACTAAAAACACATCTGCAGCCGAACAGCACTGTATAATATACAGCTGCACTTTTATTTTTACCTGGACTGTACCTCTACATTTTTAAAAACTCCCCTGTTGGAATGATTCAACCACTGCAGACAGAAGCACACAGATGCACACACACGTGTGCGGGTGCAGTGTATATATGTGCACTGTTGGCACATGTTCACAAAATACACACTACAGGCATAAATTTGAGCAATAAATACTTCGCAAGCACATTCACCACACCTGAAATATAAATACATATAAACATAAAGCAATGCATCTGTAACGATATTTGTCCATCATCCCCTCACACACATTCTCACTTTGCTTTCTGGATAATGTTTGCACTCTTCATGCTAGGCTTCATGGTGGCCCCTTAGGAAGCCCATGCCTAATGCCATTCAGTGATGAACAAAGAGTCTTTTTATTCCAAAGTCCAGGGTCCAAAGCTCAGCTGTATACAAGCAAAGTGAAGGAATCTGCTAGAGGCCAGCCTCCCCTTCACAATAGCTCTTAAAGCTTCCACCTTTTTGGTACTATCAGTGTGAACCATTTTAGAAACCGTCCAGAAGCTTAGTTATATTTCTTACATCGTCAATACAACTGGAACCTCTGGACAACATTCATGATCTGGGTCGAGCGATCTGTCTAGATAAATAGCAGTTGCTGTTTCTTGCAAACTTCATGTATTTCACTGCTAGCGATTTATGGCAAATAATTGCACAGGGAAATTATAAAGACTCCTACAATTGTCCTTGTAAATTAATAATAGGCTTTCTTGATTGGGATAAATTTGCTGCTGAGCCTTTGGAAAAATTAAAAAGTGCAATGTCATTTGAAATTGCCAGAACTCACACAGTAAATTACATCTGAGGTTAAGAATCAGTTTTTCCTCTTCCAGCTTATTCCATTTGCATGATCTGGAAATCATATTACATTGGCTATGTATTGTTAATTGGACATAGATTGCATTATCTTTAATATAAATCAAACTACAAATATTAAAATGAATTGCAAATTCTCTAATAGAAGATCATAAAACAATCTT